AAGCGCGTGGTGTGACTTCGCCTCTAGAGGTGCGTGCTCATTCTACGAGAGCAATGGCTTCTTCTCAGGCTCTCTTCAAAGGGCCTTCGATGGGAGATGTCTGTACTGTGGCAGGTTAGTCCTCTCCTAGCACCTTCATCGAGTTCTACTGCTTACACTTCTAACTCTTGTTCATGTGACTGTTTTTAAGCACGGACTCCACAGCTGACATTTGCCGTGTGCTATGGTTTTTGGCGCTTCATGTTACCAAACACTAGTCTGCCCAGCTAATAATTATTATTCTTTCAGCTCAACTAGAGTTCTACTTGTCTGGATGTGAGGATGGCTCTTGGCTCCCGGGTCTCTTCCGCTTGAGCAGACTCTTTCCTCAGTCTTCCAGATATCTTAGGTACGTCAGGCGTTATGGTATAGCGTTCCCATTAGGGTTGGGTACCGAAACCCAGTGTCAATATGGCACCAGTACCTATGTAACCGGTACGTACTAGAACTGAATCAGAAAGCAGATTTCGGTGCCACTTAATGCCTGAGCGATCGATTGAAATATTTGTACTGGTTCTCCGAAATGGACATAAGAAGCATGGGCGTCACTAGGCCATTTTTAGCGGGGCTATAGTGATTAACTCCATAAACTGTACACAAATTCGTGATCGCCTCAGAATCAGTCCCCTTTCAATTTCATATGAAAACTGCGGCAGACTTCGTCTCCTCCCCGTCTTTCAGCACGCTCATTATTGTGCACTAGAGATGTTGGGTGCTTCATGCTACCAAGCAGTGGTTTGCATGACTAATTACTCTTAGTTCTTTTCAGCTCCGCTGTTGCATTGAGCTGGAACTTTGTATGAATGTGGGCAACCTACAAGTGTGTTTGCCTCTCTATCAGCTGTTCCGCCTCTTGTTGCGTTTATCTAGCCCTTAACACATATGAACGCATACTTTATAAAACGATCATGTTGGTATTTTCATTTGAAATTTTACTATTTACTATTTTGCGACCATTTTTTCTGCCGGTGCTTCTAATTTTTGTGAGCAGTCGCACTGGCACGACCACCGCGTTGTCCAACTCATAAGCGCTGCCATTTCTATTGCATTTGAGAAACATGAAACGGCAAACTAAATGAAAGCGAAACTAAACCACGCTACATTTCAGCTGCGGAGCACGAATTGTTTATCAGCTCAGACCGCGACGCAAACAAACTTGTCCGAGTGAGAAGCGCTTGAATTTGCCGCACAATGATAAGGTTGCTGCGAGATCTGGTGAGGATCATTCAAATTCTGCACAGAATTCTCTGTTATAAACAGCGCTGACATACGTCAGGAAACCAGAAGTGGTAAGGCTAACTGTAACTGTTATAAAATATCAAATCATCAAGAAATCAGATTTTGTCAGAATTTTGCACTTTTTTTGTGTACGAAGTAAGAAAAGTCACAAACTTTTCTTCAATTTGATACTAAATCACACAATCACTGAAGTTGGTCAGTTCCATATGCTAGAAGAATAATGGTACATTTAATAAGAGTGGAATATATACATTTTCTGTATATAAAAAGTAGATTTTGCACCTGTTACTGTTTTTAATAAAAGTACATTTAGTATGCATCTTAACTCAAGCTTAGTGCTTTACTGTCAAATCTGTATAAACAATAAACAAAAGAAAAATAAACAAGAAATTAACATGAAATATTTTTTGTAACTGCACTTATTAATGCAAAGTGTGATTGACAGAGATACAGTAGAAACATTATGTGTGGTTTTGTATTTAATATTGTTTTGTATTAAATAATGACCCAGATCGTGAAATACTTTAGTATTTATTAGAAATGAAATTATGAAATTTATTAGCCTTAGAGTAAAGGAAGCACAACTCGGGAAATGAGAGCATCCGAGGAGCATGTGAATGCTATGTATATTTATTTTAAATATTTTTAATGTCCTTTAATGTTATCCATCTTTTTTTTTTTTTTCAGGCACCGGTACCGTTTTAAAATTATCGATTTGGCACCTGTATCGTAAAAAACCAATCGATACCCAAACCTAGTTCCCATAGCGATGACGTCATCGCAGCATTGAAGTGAACCTATGAAAGGGAACATCTCGGTTACGTATGTAACCTTGGTTTCCTGAATAGGGAACGAGATGCTGCGATGCTGGCCGTTCCATACCTTCGATAGCGCTTTCTTCGTCATGTGTAAAATCTGATGAAATAGCGCGCAGCACGCATATATGTGCATACGTGACGTATGCTCGGGGCGGTGCTAAGCGCTATTGGCCAATGAATTGGCGTGATGGTATAAGGGATTCAGACATTCGTCACACCGGAGGTGTTCCCAACCAGGGTTATATACGTAACCGAGATGTTTTCATTCGAGTTTATGAAATTGTGGATTTTTTGTTCAGACATTAAGCAAGCACAGGAACAGATAGTAATGGTTTATCTATTCACGTTTGTTTTATTTTCACCTAACTTTAATTTACACATGAAAAAAGCTGTTAATTTACAGAACAAAAAGACTGAAATGTGAATGATTTTAGGGCAAGAAAGACAAGAAAAAAGTACAAGTAATATTAATATTCAACAGACAATGTTTCACTGGTATATTCATCTTGCATCTTTCCAGATAAACTTTTTTTTTCCAGTCTGCCCTTTTTATCATTCTATAAAATATTATTATAATATCGGGAAGCCCCCTTTGTGCATCCACGCATGGCTCTAATAAAGGCAAAACAAGTCCGTCAGGCTGAACTCCAGCACAGGTGTCAGTGCTTCTCCAGAGCTTGAGTGAGGAGCTGATTCAGCCGCGAGATCATCGGACGAGGGTCTTCGTTCAGGCCAGCGGTGATCATGGCGTTGTCATATATCTGGTATGTAAAAATGGCATGTAGTTTTTAATTAGAGATAGGATTGAGATGAGAGAGTGGGGGAAACGGTTTCTTTACCTGCTCGAGGAGAAGCTGTGCCAGCTCAGGGCTTGAGTCCTTCAGTGCATGAAGCTTCTTGATCAGATCATGTCTGCAAACAAACGCTTGATGTTAGAGAAATTACAGCATTTCTACATGTTATGCAAGTACTAAATGCTTCATGCTTTAGCTCAAACAGCTGATAAAAACATCACAATAACCCATATGTAACCCATAATACATGTTTATAAGAAACAAATCCATCATTAAGATGTTTTAACTTTAAATTGTTGTTTCCAGCTAAAATACATGTCCTCTATTCATAACATTGCCTTCTCCAGTGAAAAAGTCACGGAGAGAAATATGCACAGATCAAGCACCGTTTACAAGTGAAAAGAGTCGAAAACAGCTCTAAACAAATATGTCAGTGGATTCTGATGTGAGAGGACAACAGGAGATTGACTATTTCACTGGAGGAAGCATTATTACGGATTTTGGACTTGTATTTTGGCCAGAAGCAAGAGTTTGAAGTTAATAACTTCTTATTGATGGATTTGTTACTTACAAATGTGCAGTTTTTCACTTCACAAGACGTTAACTGATGGACTGGAGAGGTGTGGATTACTTGTGGATTATTGTGATGTTTTTATCAGCTGTTTGGACTCTCATTCTGACGGCACCCATTCACTGCAGAGGATCCA